CATCATAAGAAGGATGGTGTCTACGCTAATATTAGTCTCTCTGTTTATCCCCAGGGACCCTCTATGGTGGACCTGCGCCTGGACCCATCCCAACTCATCCTGAAGTGCCAGCCTCATCAGCCCTGTGAAGGCCTCATCGACACGACAGCCATCGACACTGATCCTCAACAACTCGTCTCCATACCGGCGTGATTACTTCGACTTCCAACCAGATGGAAATGGATAAATACTCTAAATGTTCCGATCCGATCTGACTTGTAATGCTGCCCGAATCATACACTGTTCCTTTGTTGGCCAGAGGAGAACTGGCCCCCGACTGAATCTGGGTTCTCACAAGGTTTTTCTCTCCATTCTGTAACCTGATGGAGTTTTGGATCCTTGCCACTGTTGCCTTGGCTTTTTGCTTGCTTAGTTGGGGACATTTAATATTCAATAATATTATTGATCTGCCTTACTTAAGGTGGACGTTGATGCAATTTTCTTCTAGAAACAAACTTTGTTGTATTATTTTCATGTTATCACTGTGAAGCTGTTTTGATACAATCTGTATTGTAAAAGGCGCTATATAAATAAAGGTGACTTGACTTGACAGCAAAAACATCTTTCTGATCGACAAATGATCGCGGTTCTAAACATCTAAATTCTCCAGCGGCAGCTATTCTTTGTTGTAAACGAATTCAACCCAAGCGCTCTTTGGTGACGTGGATGATTACATTACTGTTGATCATCTGTCCATCATGGTATAAAACATATTATACAATTATTTTAAAATGTTCCTAAAGTTTCACTTATAATCATAGGTGGAGTTTCACTTTTGTGCTGGGTGGCAGATGTTGGGGGAGGGATTTATTACTTAATAAATAATAATAAAGGAATTAAATAAATTAAAGGATTAAAAGGAATTTAAGGGAATAAAATATATAAACAATAATGGTAAAACAAGTTCTAGGTCTAATTGTAGTTATGAAGTAATCCATAGAAACAATTTGGAAATTTTTTATTTTAAAATGTGCACACATGCACTCTTATTTATTATGTCAAACGCAAACGTTTCTTGTCTCGTCACATTCACTTATGAACTACATGAATCATGATCGCATATTTTCAATTCAAAACAGCAAAATTTCACAAAAAGTTCAGTAGTTTGCATCACTACATAGTCTATTACTGTCGGTTGCTGAACATTTCTATCGTAAAACAGTTGTCAAATACTTATATCTACTTAAATATGTCCACAAACTCTAGTTGCATAATGACAGTAACAGTAAGACCCGCATTCTTTGATTTAATTTGGCCATTTCGATCATTTTGACATTGACGAGGCAGAGTAGCCCAAAAATGTAACTTTTATAACTTTTTGTCATCCTAACAACAAATAGCTTTACTCATTCTACACTAAAATTATAACAAAAGACAAATAAAATTAGAAAATATGAATTCTTTAATTTTTTATTCATAGCTCAGAGAACATCATTGCCTCTGGTCTGGGGGGCAGTACCTGATGTTTTAATGGTACAAAGACCATGGTCTTTTGACCATTTAATGGTCAAAAGATCAAGGCAAATTTGATTTCTCATGTCATGACCCCTTTAAACAAGCAGTTAACAAAATATCAGAAAACTATGTTAGTTCCTATAACGATGTATAAACCTAGGCAAATTCAAAGATTTATTCAAGACTAATGATTTACAACTTAAAGTGGCCCAGAGCGGTCTGATCTGGTCTAGCTACTGTGTGTTAAAGGGTTAGTTCACCCAAAAATGAAAATGCTGTCATTAATTACTCATGTTGTTCCAAACCCGTAAGACCTTCGTTCATCCTCGGAAAACAAATGAAGATATTTTTGATGAAATCCGAGAACTCTCTGACCCCATAGACAGCAATTTAATTACCACTTTTAAGGCCCAGAAAGATGGTAAATACGTAAGGGATAATCCACGGCTAGCCATGCATTAAAGGATTTAATGCACGACGTAGAGGTGAAGAACCACCCGATGCGAAGCGGAGGGTGGTTGCTTCTACGTCGTGCATTAAAATCCTTTAATGCATGGCTAGCCGTGGATTATCCCGCTTATACCTCGGTTATTTGCCAAGTTAAAAATAAGTTAAAGCTGTAACTGATGCTTACAGTGTAATTTTTTAACAGACGTGTAAAAATGACGGTTATTTTCTTAAGTTACGGCTCGTTAGTTCTAGCACTCCGTCCGCTTTAAATAAAGTAGAGCCATCGGATTGCTTTTATTTGAATGAATTATCACATTTATTTAAATTCATTATTAAGAGAGAGACAGAGAACTGAAAGAGAAGGAAGAGAGAGAGAGAGAGAGAGAGAGAGAGAGAGAGAGAGAGAGAGAGAGAGAGAGAGAGAGAGAGAGATAGAGAGAGAGAGAGATGCGTGCGCGAGTTACCTGTGAGCGTCTCTTCTTTAAAGTCTACAGTCCCCTCTTGCTTAAGCATATAGCTAACTTAATGATTCATGGATTTATTACAATTATTTATGAATGATAGGCAACACTGACAGTGGCAAGGCAATCTTTATTTGAACTAATCATGTCATTTATTTAAATGAATTAGCTGTGTGTCAAACCGAACTTTTCTTACAAGTCCTGTGGGTGTGAAAGGGGAGAGTGCAGGTGCATTTCTAATTTTCTCCATGTCAGACTCAGTAATACGCGGATGATGAACGCTGGTGTCTTTTCCATTTTTCCTGTAGCGCTTTAAAACTGATTTAAAGATGGCATTGCTTGACTTGAAGTCTTTATCCCTTATGATGTTGTGTTTTATAATGTGACGGTTTATACCTGCTCTGAGACGCATCAAACTTGCAACACTGTATTCGCGTCCAGCGGTAGACTGAACAGAGTGTTAACTGCCCATTTAGTTGTCTTTTTCGTATTGACCTCATCTTTGTCGTCTTCGATCTTATCTAGATCTGTCTTTTCCCTCCAAAAAACTGAAACTTATTTAAGTAATATACAGTATTTCGTCGTCACCCTGCCTCTCCAAATGCAAAACTGACATTAACAAAATGCAATAATGCAGTAACAGCTGAAAAAGTACTTGGGTGTGTGTTTTATTTTATATTTACCGGTCAATAATGCAATCGCTGCTGTCTGTCCCATTGAAGAACATGACAGTCAGCGTATGTTTTGGAACTATTGGGGCTTACATGAACCACGTGACAGCCATCACGGCGACATCAAAGAGTGTCGCAACTCTTTCTCTCTATGGCTTTGAGCCTACCTAAATAAACGTTTTCATATGCGTCTCTCTCTCACTCTTTTGCAAGTGTAACTCTGTTACTATGGTTACCAATGTTTATAGTAGCGGATTCATTTCGAACTGTAATCGAACTGACTGGAACTACCTGTGCATTAAACGGTTTTACTGCACACCTTCCAGCCAATCAGAATCGAGAATTTTAAACAGCCTGTGGTATAAATTATTAAAATAGTCTATGTGACTACAGTGGTTTAATCTTAATTTTATGAAGTGACGAGAAAACTTTGTGCACAAAAAAAAAAAAAGATTTTATTCAACAATGTCAGTCTCCTACGCTATTCACATAGAAAAAAAAAAACAGTTCAGCATTTCCGGGTTCTACGTCATAACGCTGCCTTACTATTGGCCGACGCATACATGTGACGCTGACACAGTCAGTCAATAACGAGGCTACGTTTTGACGTAGAACCCAGAGGCGCTGCACTATTTTTGACAGAATTAACTAACCCCTTTAAACTACAGAATGTTGTTCCATGCACAATCTGGTGGATTCTGCTTTGGAGCACAAAAAGTGTATGTAATATCATTTAAATTCTAAGAAGCGTGCCTGCAGGAATCCATATTGCGTGATGCCGTATGGAATTAATTAATTCTTAAACGCCACATCAGCTGTTATGTGGTTTTCTACAGTTAAGTACCTGGGTGTACCGTGTTGTTTTGACAGTATTTTGTCCTTTGATAATCACAATTCTAACATTTGCAGAACAACCTTCCTCAACCTTGTTGCAGGGTCAGTAAATAAGCTTTAGTTCGTATAAAATGTAGTGGCCAATTTTATCATCACTATTGCTGACTGCTTGTTAGGTTTCGTGTTAATTCTGATAATTAGACAAAGTTTTGAATGGCCTAAAGCTCCTCAGACGTTACCATATCTTCTACTGTGTTATAATCCCTCATGTTGATTACGGTCACACAATTTTAACCTGCTGATAGTACTTTGACAACTGCAAACCACATAAGGAGGTAGATAATTTTCCTGACGGTCTCCTAAACGCTTTTAATAGCTTTCACTGTCCGGGACTCAGACAATCTCAATTTAAGCCTAGACTAAAGATGCCAAGTTTACATAAACATATTCCTCAATGAATATGATACTCATTTTATTTGATTAGCAAAAGGCCCAGTGTCTCATTATTCTAGTTAAATTTGATTCAATTTAAGAATTTTTCAGAAAAGATGAGGCATGTATTTATTAAAAAAAAAATTTTTTTAAATGCCCCTGGACATCATGTGGCCAAATATTGGCCCTTAACCCTTTCACACTCAAGTTTAAAATATTCTAGTTCTTCCCCAGAACAGAACATACCGCCAATCCAAACTGTATGATAATTCTTAATCATCTTTGATGGTAGTGGTCCTGACCGAAATAATGCTATAATCATCACTTTTCACGATTAATTAACCCTGAGAGCTGTAATAGTAAAAGTGTCATTTTGGGTCAAAAATACCCTGCTTACATAAATATCATATTTAGCCAATTAAGCAAGATGATATGATTAAAAATATAACCCATCAGTTAGACAAAAGGTCAGAAAAAATGGGTATAACACTTGAAATTATGTCCCCCTCACTTTTGAAGTGATGGCTACGCCCTTGATGTGTAATATGGTGTAAACTGTGTATTGTGAAGTGCTATACAAATAATTTTGACTTGATGCTGTAGAGGTTGACATATTAAGAACCAAATGACTGAGTTCAGCTTTGAGAATAAAACCAACCTGTTTGTTCCTCAGTATCTTCATGTTTTATGCCGAATGCTTCTTCAATCCTGATGTCTTCACTCTCCTCTTTAATAAACGCCATCTTTTTAATAGTGTCACGTGGATCTCAGTTGCATCACCAGGAGTTTTCTGTGTTTTTGGATACTCTGCCATATTTAAGATGAAAATAAATAACAGAAAGAAAAATAAATCCAAATTAAATCTGTGTGTGTGTCTCAATCAGCTCAGTTCAGTAGTCAGCGCACTGACAGCCTTAAATGACCTTATTAGCTCAAAACTTACTTATGATTTATATTTGATATTAAATAATTTGCTTTTACAGTTAATAGATTAAATTTTAATGAAAATATTAGCTACTGGTTCGTAAAAGTTATCATTTCACATGTTTGTGTTTGTGTTCTCGTTGCATTTACACTGTTTTGACCAGCAGATGTCGTCACCGTGCGATGATTCGAGCGCTTCTAAACAGTGAATCATCATGCGAATCAATTGCTTTAATTTACTCTTTCCCATCACTACTTGCTAAAATGACCGAATTAATGGTTACTGTAAACTGGTTCACGATTTAAGGGGCGAAATGAGACGCACCTTCTCTGTTACACATGTGGATGCGCTGTCAACGCTATGGTAGAATAAGCATTGCAATGTTACATTCAATAATAACCTATTCATTTTACATCGCTTATAAAAACTATAAAACTGCATGATTTAAGGACTTAAAAACACAAACCTTTCTTTAGCTGTACATGACAGACGCAGGATCGCGTCGCAGCCTCCTGACGTCACTAATCCAGACCAAAATAAAAGTCCTGTTCCTAAATCACAATAGAATGCATCGATATTTAAACACAGAAAACGCATACAAGTTATATAAACGATCAGAGGTTATTGGAGTTAAATTCATGTCACCCGTTGTCTAATAAAATCCTGAAAGTAACTGTGTACCACATCTAATTATGTTGATTCTGTATAAAATAAAACGTCATGTTTGGGTGCAGAAACCATTTAAACCATTTATACCATGCGTTTTATTTTTAAAGACATTTTAAAAGAAATATTTGATGCATTTATGGTATAAAAATATTTTATTATACAATAAACAAGGTTAATTATTAGTGTGTGTATCCTCTGCTCTTTTTTTCATTACTTTGTATCCTAAATGTATGTTTGTAATGTATATTTGGCCTGGTAAAACCCAGTGATTGCATTGGGATGGCAAAAAATAACAAATAAATACATACATACATACATTTTTACTTTCTAGAGAAAATCATTTATGCATCTAACTGTGACCATGTATAACTTGTGTGGTGGAATATCTTAAAATGGATGTGGGATGGAACACAAATGATTTCATGTAACTGCACCTCAACAAACAGTGGTTAAACTGGTCCCACTGCAATAACAGTGCTGAAAGTTCACAGAATGTGACATGGCGAAACATTCTAGTACATCGGTTACGGTGTTGCGATATTATCCTACAAATAATAAATTTTCATGACTGCACATGCACTTTCATATGACAGATGCTTCAAACTGAGAGATCATACATACAGTAGTTGAGAGACATGTTCAACAGTCTAAATGAGCGTTTGTTTCCGCGGTGTAAGAGTTTGAGTGTTGCATGCTTTTCCCTGTGATCAGTTTCAATGGAATAAATTATCTCGCATAGACAAGGAGTCTCTGACACAAACACGATCCATCCATACTGTAAGTGTAACCGGTGGAGCTCCTTTGAGGAGGCTATAACCGATCAAATGGCTTATAATTGTCATTAAACACAGCAAAATAACTTAAAGGTGCTCTAAGTAACTTTTTGACCTTAACTGAACAGCTTCGGAGTGAGTGGAATGGTTATATTACTTATTTTGGGTTGAATGGTGGTGGTTTCGCACCCCCCTGGTCCCCAAGAGCGGAAAAATCCCACTTGCAGTTTTGGGCCGCCGGACTCGCCGTCAGGACGTATCGCGTGATATCAGGTCTCGCGATGTAATGAATTGCTTTACGGCACTGCACACGTACACGCCCCCATTCAAGCACCGGCTAGCTATAAGCAAAGGGCAACGATAGTTTGCGTTATGGCTGAGACTGCAAAAAAGCAGAAAGCAAGAAAATTATTGACGGAGGACCAGAGAAAGAGGAAACGGGAGACTGACCGAGCAAGAAGTCAGACTCAAGTAAACATCGGACCGGCGTTTTCCGAATGGCGAGAACTGAGAGAAACAGAAGCCTGCAAAACGGATGCTGACCTGGCCTTCTTGCTGTTGCACTTGTAAGTATCTTTGGAAAAATCTGTGTTTAATATTTAAAATTAAAGTAATTGTGACCCCAGGATGATTGCTATTGTATGTAAAGTTTTTATTATGATCGCTGTCTGTTACGGTCTTACTAGTACGCTAACGTTAGATACTATAACTTTGATGTTAGCATTGTCATTAGCAAACACATTTGATTTCTGTCATTGGTTAATTATTAAACCCGTCTATTGGTCAATTTATTAAACCCGTCTAGCAATGGCAGCGTTGGCTTAACTAGGAATAAAAAATAAACTTCATTAATTCGGTCAGTAAAGATAAAAAAAGAAAGTAATATTTTTATTCAGCAAGGACACATTGAATGTGTTTAAAAGTGAGAGTAAATGCATTTATAATGTTACAAAAGATTATAAGATTTCTATATCTGTTTGAATAAAATTTTTATTCATTAAAGAATCCTGAAAATACTATATCATGGTTTCCACAAAAATATGAAGTAGCAGAGCTGTTTTCAACACTGATAATACTCAAAAATGTTTCTTGATCATCAAATCATCATATTAGAATGATTTCTGAAGGATCATGTGACACTGAAGAATGGAGAAATGATGCTGAAAATTCAGCTTTGATCACAGGAATAAATTACACTGTACTATATATTCACATAGAAGACATTTTCAGTGAAATTTCGTTTCTTCATTGCTTTAGCCATGTTCTTGCAGGTTTCTTTTGCCAAATTGGACTAATTACCATATTTAAATTAATTTAATTGGGGGAGGAGACTGGGTGGGGCGTTGTGCTCGTGCATGTGCGCTCAGTTTTACGTTAATTGGGATGTACAAAGAGAATATGCGTGGGATCCTTCGTACGCAGAGATTCATACATCTGCTTTTTTTTGTGCGTACGCACATTTACAGCTTTGTCCGTACGCAATGTTTTAGTATGAATTCAACGCAAGTCTTTGTGCATGAGGCCCCAGGAGACTCGGTTGTATCTTTTAAGCAGGATTCTTTATTGCTGTTGCATCGCTATAGTCTGCTTCGTCCAAAAATCTTAGCCAAGTCTAACTAAGGGAACTTTACATTACATTGCAGTTTTATATACATTTCATGGGGGTGGGATTAATTACATAGAGGAGGGGACTCTTGAACAAAACATGTAAATGAAAGTACATGATTCAGCTGGTTACCTGATTTCATCAGGTAACAGTGTAACTCAGAGCCTTGAGATGCTAATCCAATCACCCTGATAAGATCAACAAAAGGCCCAGCTGACCTTTGAGATGTGACAAGAGGTTAATGTTCGAAACCTTGATTGCCTCAAAATGGAAAACAGTGTGTGCACTTTCTCAGTTAAAAATACTGTTGAACCTAAATTAAACATTTAATAAATTTGTAATCCTACACCATCATGGACATCGCACAAAGTCTGGACTCCAGAAACAACATATTCTTATAGCTGATGAATATGTCAAAAACGCTTGTTTGCTGGAAAGAATGTTTGCATGTCACACCCGAAGATGGCTGCACAAACATGCTGGACCAACAAGACACTCTTGATCTTTCAGCAAAGTTACAACAGATGACTGAAGATAATTATCCGTAAGAACTTCACGGACCCTAACTGCATGTTTTGTTTCTGTGTCAGTGTGAAAAGTATATATAACCTGCAATGTAAAGTTCCCTTAGTTAGACTTGGCTAAGATTTTTGGACGAAGCAGACTACAGCGATGCAACAGCAATAAAGAATCCTGCTTAAAAGATACACCCGAGTCTCCTGGTCTTCGCTTCTGAGTTCCTACACTTTAGAAGAAAAAGTTCACAACAATACATATGGTTCTTGAATCTTCCGGTAGCGACATGGATGGAGAGTTTTTTGAGAATACTTGAGACTTTTACTTTTGAGAATCAACCAACATTGATATGCCCACTGAAAATTTAGCAGAGGAGTTAAAGGGATAGTTCACCCAAAAATGAAAATTAAGTCATTAATTACTCACCCTCATGTTGTTCCAACCCCGTAAGACCTTCGTTCATCTTCGGAACACAAATGAAGATATTTTTGATTAAATTTGAGAGCTGGATCACTGCTACATAGGCTTCCTAAGGGAGTGAAACTTGACGACCCAGAAAGTCATTGAAGAAAATTTTTAAATAGTCCAAGTGACTACAGTGGCTCAACTATAAGTGTATCAAGCGACGAGAATACTTTTTGTGCGGAAAAACAAACAAAAATAACGACTTTATTCGACTTTTCCTTTTCTTCCTTGTGGGCCTGAGACGAGAGTTCAAGAGATTTCCACGACGCATGCGCGAGAACTGAGAAGAGGACGTTCTTCTTCTACTACTTCTTGTTCAGTTCTCGCGTATGCGTCGTGGAAATCTCTTGAACTCTCGTTTTTTTGGGTGAACTATCCCTTTAAAGAAGTGGATCAATGAATATAACATCAAGCACAATGCAGTAGATTACGTCTGACCGTCCGAATGTCTCCAACGATCTAACTTTACAAACGTGATTACGTGCGTCTGCCATACGTCTGGAGCTATCTATTTTTCCTTATTTTCTCATACATTTACTGTTATAGACATAGATAATCTTATTTAGGCAAAGTTTATGTAGGACAACATTTGATAAACTTATTTCTATAATGCTGAATGTATGTTAATGTACCATACATTTGGTATCCCAATGATAGTAACTTTTTAATAAAAGTGTAGTGTCATGTATTTTGATTATACGAATAAAATGGGCTAGTAAAATTCAGAAAAAGTCTGTCTTATCATTAGTTTGTTTAAGATTTATTAATGCTCTGCGGTCTGCATGCCTCGAGTTCACTCGTAGATTCTACATTTAGCATTAATTAACCATTCAGAAACCACTTTAGAGCTTATCGGGTTTT